AAAACGTAATTAGTAACCTATGTGTTCTTCCGGGCTATGTTCTACGCCCATGCCAATTTTCTGGACTTACCTTCTAATAAATATCCATCCATCCAAACATTCGCATTTGTAATATTAGTAAGATTTTTATCATGGAATTTAGTCGTCGTAGCAAGATATGTTTATAATTGTGTAGGTACGTGTGCGCGGGCAACATCAAGCTGCCGGCCGCATTCGAGGACTTCCAGAACAAGGAGCAGCTCTGGAGCAAAGTGAAGCGAGGTACATACACTTACATGTTGCTTAGCTTTACTCTCAACATTTTCACAGCGCCATCTAGCGACATGTTTTCTTACTAAAACAAAATTATAATCAGTCTTTTAAAATAAATTTGTTTATTACACTTTAGTAAAAATTCAATAATATTTTTTCTTCATTTAATATTGTGCAGGTTTACGTCCCGAAAGGTTGCCCCACTTCACAGACGAGTGCTGGGATGTGATGCAGTCGTGCTGGGCCTCCGAGCCCTCACAGAGGGCGCTGCTGGGCGACGTCCGCCCCAAGCTGGAGGCCATCCTCCAGCAGGCTCTCAGAGACGAGGCACTCCAGGAGCAGGCCCTCAGGGAGCAGGGTGACGACCCACACAGGAGACACAAGGACTACGACTCTGACGACAGCCTTTATATGACCGGGATACAGAAGAATGATAAATTATAAGCTTTATGTCCTTGAAATAAGGATCTTTTTCGATTGATACGAAAAATACGAATACAGAATTATATTATGAAAAAAGAATCGAGAACATAGTGAGAAAATGAACTTTATGGCTTAAAGAATAAAGTAGTTTTAAATAAATCTGTGATGGTTGTTACATCGAGTGATTGATGAAGTGGCTGATATTAAAAAAGGAAGTTTATGACTTTAACTAGAAGGATCACTTTCGTGTGTTATCAATGAATTGTTTCTGAAAGTGAAATTATTGAATAAGGAAGTGAATCTGTGATTATATATTTCTTGTTACATTAAATAGAATACAAGATAAAGTTATTTAAGTTTTTATTTACTTTCTTTCTAAGTTAAATCATGTTAAATATTGACTTTGTTTTAAGTTCATTTTGACAAACTTATTTGAGTCAAAACTTTTTTAATTGTTTTTAAATATAAGAAACTTTTATAATTTTATCAGTTTTAGTTATTTTTTGGAAATTATCAAATTTAAACAGAAGATGTCAGTCAGACGTAAATTGGCACAAAAAGACCAAAATTAAGCTTTAGTATATTTTAAATATGACTGTTTTTGTTTCGTTTAAGATTCTCGTTACTTTTTAATATAATAAATATTTTGTCAAAAGCAAACAAACATATCTCTTCTTTTAAGATTTCAATATTTTAATTCTCAAAAATGCCAAATGAAAATGAAAAAGTATTATAAAGTGAACATTTGAACAAACTCGTCACAAAATTGTACCTAAATTGATTAAGATTATTTGCGTTTTCTATAAATGTTGTATATAATATTTGTAACTTGTGTACAGATTGAGAATAATAAACTTATTTTGTATCTTTTAAGTGTTTTATTACTTATTTTTACTTTGCCTTACTTATTTAAAACTTAAAGTTTTTATTTCTCACGTAATTTCTAACACAAATGATTTCGCATATAGAAGTAGTTAAAACTTTTTTCTTTGCCTAGGTCTAAATCGTCACTCGTTTTACTAATTTGAGAATATTTCGATGAGTGTTGAAATGAATGGGGAAATTATTATTTTTGTATTTTGTTGAATTTCCGGATAATTTTAACGTTTATTTTTAACCACAGGGCATTATTTTGATTTACAGTATTGCTAACTTTTAATTTTGCTTACGATTATAAGGCTTTTCCATGTAAAATAATTAACGCAATATTTGGATCGGTTATTGGGTTCGTCTCATAGTGAATACGATCCACTACGAAATTAGTTGTAATGCCTGACATGTACATTAGTAAAACCCGCATCATTCGACACAATAACATTCAAAGGATTTAACTCAAATATTTAAGGATCAAATAAAAGTTAGGAAAGCGTTTAACTTACTTTAGTATGTGCAAATCGAGGCCCATCCGATAACCGTTTCGTGAACGCGCAGAAAATATGAGAGATCGCAAAGTACACAGCTAAACGGCAAAGTTCAACACGACGGGAGCAAAGCGGCGCGAATCAGCCGGATCTTCTGCAAACAACCCTTTGCCCGCCTCTAAACCCTATTAGCCCTCATGTCATAGATTAAACGATTGAACAGAATGTTTAAAATATTATTCTATAATATTTTATTCGCTTTTTGGAGGGAAAATATCAGTATCTGTGGCTCGCAGGTTTAAATCAGAACTTAAACATTTTAAACAAAATTAACGGGAGAAATTCAAAATATTTGTGGAAACTAGTTTCTTACATTTATTAAATTTCTTACTGTATTTTTGAAATCATTTGTTTGTTTACTAACTTTTGATTTTCTGTATAAAACACAATATAGATACGAATAATCTGACAATGATTTGGTGTAGGTAGAAATATAGTAGTTCTGAAGGTAGAATAGTAAATATGTTTTTTTTATTCAAAGTTTCATATCTAGGAAAACATTCTGAGGCGCGGTGCGAAAGGAAAACATTGTGAAATTATATTCTTCAAGATTTTCTTGGGTAAATATTTTGAAGGTTTACGAAGCTTCTTTAGGTTATAAATTCGTTGGGGCCGCGAGCCGTTTGTCTGTTTTTCTTTTGTTCGTAGGCCAATTTGCCGAGTTGTTGATTTAGGCGGGGACCGTTAAATTGGTTCAGGTTTGATGACGCCTAAAAAACTAAAAAAATAAACGCTATATTTTTTGTTTGCATAATAGTGCGGCGCGTGTTCAAATATATTGTAGTGTAAAGGACGTAATAATTTTGTCTAAATAAAATAAATTAATTTTCCATTAATTAAAATCTCAGAAAACATAAATGTTACATAAATTAGTTTGTTATTTCTATATTCTATACTCTTGACGCTTTACAAAGTGATACATTTTTAACGTTAAAATGGACAGACTTTCATGTAAATCCTCAAAATATTATTTCTTTATGAGAAAAGGTGGCAAACGAGCAGCGTGAACACCGAGGTGATCAACGAAACCCATGGACATCCGCAACACCAGAGGAACTGCGGATGCGTTGCCGGCCTTTATGAAAATGGTTTGCTCGCTTCTTGATTTTGGTGTCTTGTTTCTTCATATTCCGTAAAGAACATTGTACAGAAATTAAAAACAATATCCTAATATCAGGTCACTGTTAAGTTAATTGTAAAACATATTTAACTTAATAAAAAGTCCATTAGCTTTGAATGTAACTGCTTGAGACCACCGACATCGAAAGATAGCGCGGATCTTTGGAACTTTTAACTTTTGTGATGCAAAATCATTGTCGACTGTAAATTAAAACTTTATAAAGGCCGGGATTCTTCGGGCGGGGCTTTGTTTTATGAATTATTGTCGTCTGAGGTAAGGGAGATTTTTGTTTAAATTAAAAAAGGGAATGCTGAATCTCGGCGCCGTTTTAAGCTCATTCAAAAATGATATTCATTTTCAAATAAAGTCTAATAATACGGTCGTAAAAACTTCAGTAATAATTTAAATAACTAATAATTTTAAATCGAAATAAGCTAAATGTTAGTATATCTACGTGAAGACCCATAGTTTCATAATAGTAGTATGAAAAAAAAATAGGACAATAGTTCCATTGCAGTAAAAATAGTTAAGAACGAAGTCATAAATGTTTTATATCCCTTAAAGTGATAAAAGCAAAACCTGCACAGTTTATGAAAGAATAGTAAAAAGTTTAGTCGATCCCGCGAAATCCATTAAGTTAGAATAATTCAAACTGGGGTCTCCCCACTCAGAGTACATTAGTGTGCGCTCAGCGTCCCACAGCAACTCACTATAAATAATTCAGGCCATCGTCTTGCTGCGGACTCACAAATGTTTGCTGCGAATTGCCTTCGATATTCTCCTGTCGATACGACACGCAAATCCTTCATAACATTATCTTCAGCTATTCATGGCAATGGAATGACTCTTTGAAACATTTTAAAAACAACGTTTAAAAATCTATTAGATTGCTAATTTGCTAAAGATTAAAATAAAATCACAGAACAAGTGCTTAGGATAGTGAAATCAATGTACCAGATAAGAGAAAAAGTTAATTTTCACATAAGTAAGGTTTGCATTTCGAGAGCCTAACACCAACATTAGTGAAAAAGTTACGAAGGCGCGAGTCGTAATATTATCGCTAGGTTCTCTGTTCATTTTGCTCCAGTATATTTAGTATACTCTTTGCATTTGGTTAGGCGGCGTCATGTGTTGCGGACGTGTATGTTGCACTTCACGCGCAAATCCCCGCTGATTCGCTGAGGGAAATTCAACGAAGGCTCAGTTAGTGTTGGCAGACTGCCAAGGGGATTAGTTACTCGCTCTCGACGCCTCGAGAGGTACAGATAACTTGAGAAATACTAAGATAATAGCTTAGTTGAATATGTATGTAAACTAAAACCTATTTGCTGATGTTCTCAATTTACATTAAGACGAAGTAAAAAGATGTAAAACAGTATTTGTAACGAATTTTAATTAATTTAGTAGAGGATCTGCTGGACGAAGACTTGACTGCCCAGCCGTGGATTAGATCGGCCCACAAGTATTGTGGAAGAAAGTAGATTGAAAAACAAAATATATAACACGCTATCGTCCGCAGGTTTGTCAGCACAGAATTAATAATCATAATAATAATAAGGTACTATATATATATATATATATATATATATATATATACAACAATTAAAATCTTGTAGTTTTTATATAAAATTATCATATATTATATTAATTCTTTAATGAATACATATTTTTCGTTATCAATATTCGATCTCTTTATTTATATGCTGTATTTTTGATCAAAATCTTTAAATTAAAAATTTTAAGCAATCTATAATAGTCAATTTACTGTTTAAAAATCAATCGAATTATTTTTGTACTTGCTTCATATAGAACGTAATTTTCAGATCGATCTCAAGAATCGAATATTGATTTGGATGGTAGTATGACAAGTTATAGAGGCAATGCAGTGACAGCGCGTATCCAGTCTCTGACGACGGGCACCTTGCTGTAGACGCCGGGCTGTCGCGGCGCGGCGCAGCTCACACCGAACGATACGATGCCGACAAGCTTGCCGTTGATCACCGCGGGACCGCCAGAATCACCCTGCAACCATAATTGTAAACAAAACACTCCTCTTAGTATCCAATTGGATATATCAAAACTGCAGAAGGTAGATACTAAACTATGAAAATTATATTAGTAACCTGACAGGAGTCCTTAGCGCCGTCCATGTATCCGGCGCAGAACATGCGCGACGTTATGTTGCTGAAGTACCCGTGAGGCAGCGCGCGACATTCATCATCCGCCATCACAGGAACATACACTCGCCGGACTAGGTCTTGCATTCGGCTTTTCTGATGAATGTAACAAGATTAAAAACGTGTCAGACCAACATCTTCCTTATAAATGTGAATGCTTGCATGTCTGGATGTTTGGTAAAAGCTGCAGAAAGGTTGGTGGTAGAACACATAGGCTACTAATTAAGTTACTTTTTAATTCAATACAAACGAATTCGCAAGCAGCATGCACATAGAAGCTAAATTATAGAAGTTGTGGTAGTACTATAAAGTGAATATGCACTTTGAACTGTAGATGTCCCCAGCCGCTGATGGCGACCATGTTCCCGGGACGTATGTCCTCGAGGCTGCCGATGGCGATGGGCCGCGAGCTGGGTGTGACGGGAACTGGTGTCTCGAGCAGCACCAACTGGTAGTCATAGTCGTGGCTGACGCCGGCTGTCGCGTTCCACAGCGGGTGGATGAAGTGGGCGCAGATGCGGTACTTCTGTGCACGGCTGCGCTGCGTCGACCCCGCTAAGATAAACGTCTCTCTGTCTCTGTAATACACACAATTATGAAGTCCCAATCGCCTGATGGCTAGGGATAAACAATCTAACGGTCCTTGATACGAATTACGACTATTGTTATGAACCACACATATTAATTAAGCGTTGGGTTTATAAGTTTTTTTAAGTTATTGCTAGTTAGGAAATAGTACACTAAATAGCCCTTTTATCACTGCGTGCGTACCATATTTCGATTGCACCAGATAATATCAGATGGGATCAAGTTGAAATGTTAGTTCTATTGTAAATGAAAGAAAGTTAGTTTGGAGTATGAGTGTGAAGATTAGTGTGTCCATTAGGAGTACTTACTTACAATGAGCTGCGGTGATGACCCACTGCGGCGCGATCAAACTGCCCCCGCAATACCGTCCGTACAATACTTGATACGGCACCTCAGTTATTGACACTATCTTACCCCCAACTATGCGGAACTTCACCTGCAAACAAATAAAGATAAATCAGCACATCCAACGTAAAAGTTACATCTTTTGTGCTCTGCTAACATACATTACTCATTCCGTGGGATGTGTCGTTTTTTTTGTGAGGTGGTCATATGCGTCAGATGCGTTGCTTCTTGAAGGACCCTAAGTCGCACTGGTTTGGAAATACCATCTAGAACAGTCCCACAACACGGCAATGCGCAGCAGGAAAGTCTCAATAATTTACACTAACAAAATTCATAGTAACAATCAATCAGTTCGGATTTTATTTTATATTATTTTTGTTTATACTTACATCAACTTCTGTATTATTTGTATTAGCTGCGTTTCCACTGGCGAGCAATCGTTCACGATCTACACTTTCATGGACGTAGAAGTAGTTCCGGGGCGGCACACGACGCGTCACGAACATGCGGACATACGCTTTAGTGCAGTCTGATGTCAGCAAACCTTTATACTCCGTTACTGTAACAAAACAACTCCAGCATAAAGTGCAGTGAAATAAGACCTTAGTTAATTCGTAGATTCAAGAAGTATACACACAATTAATAGATTATAAGCTTGTGAAAAACCCAGGTTAGCAAAGTGAGATGGCCAGTTATCTAGTCAATATATCTAAAGTATTGAATGATACTAACCATTTTGTTCGCAACACACGAGCGTAACTAAAGTGAGGAATATATAAATGCGTTTACACATGACTAACGAGTCGCGGACTCACCCAACTGAATGTGCTCCATTACACCATACATATCATACATGGAAATTAAATAGGGCTGGCACAAAGTTTATTTAACACTTTGAAGGACCGAAGAAAGTAATAATTTGGCTCAAGGATTAAAGACATAATAAAAATTTGCTCCAAAAAATCAGAATTTTTCTATTTTTCTGGATTGCACAAATCTTGTTACTAACGAAAAATACCTTTGTTTTTTATCTGTTAAATGTATGTATATTTTCTCTTAGTTAAAAATTACTTTATAGCATTGCATGATGTGTGACATCCCTGTACTAATGTTAATAACAAAATCCGTATCCGATCAGAAGTTCACGCTCCACAATCAGTCGTGGCGGGAATTGCAGCAAACATTGACAAAACTGTTTACTTGTCGCCACTACTGAGTAAAATGATGGAGAACTACTTGCAATAGTAAGTTATTTGTGATAAAAATTATAGGTTTATATTTTTTAATATATATAAGGTATATGTCAAAGATGATTAGCGATAGCTGATTTTGGTATACGTTTTAAAGTAAAACTTATAGTAGTGAATATATAACACTGCTCTCAGATCATTGAAGAGACAAGTGGGGCTCGACAAAGTGCAATCGTTGCGAAGCGAATCCATAACGAATTACAAAAATATATGGAACTGACGCGCGACAATCACGTGACTTATTTCCAGTCAGAATGTACTTTGTCTTATACATACGAATAAAAACATACCACAAATTGACGTTTCATATCAAATCTATTTTTACTAAACATGATGCTATCTATATATTCAATTAGATTTGAAGCATTAGAGATTAGAGAGATATATAACAGTTATCATTTCAATTTCCCTTGTGTTGTCAGTATTTGTTATGAACACGTGTCACAGGGCAGTGTTTGCACGTCCTCGTGCAGAGATTTAGAGGAGGAAACGAAGCTGTATATTCTGGGTGACTGCCACAGCTTAATCAAGACACACAAGGTGAAGGAAGATCTATACTATAGGAGTGAATTATGTGAAGACTGAGATAATATCTTAGTACCTACAGTTGAGGACATTTATTTCCTACCCATTTAGTTGCAATTTCATTTCGTATTGATAATTCAATTAAAACGAAAATTATGGTCTTGGTCTGTGTATACTATATCTATATCTTACTTCAATGTACTATAGAACTTGGATTTTCCAGTGATTTGTTATTCTTGAGGTTTAGTAGAGCTGTAGTCAACTGTATTAGTATTTTTATGTATCTAAAATTCATCATAAAAACAAGAATCAATTATATCCATTTACGTGGCACATTTATAAACTTTGTAAGGAAACTATAAATTAATTCTAAAACCAATAAAGTCAAAATGAAACTTATCAAAATTGTCGCTCAGCTTGTCACATACGAGTAATAAAATCAATGATTAACTGCAACCAATTGAGTCCGCGACGAATCACGTTTAAATCATATTAATTTATTTTGTGGCCACATCCAGCTGATTACTGCTTAGCGTAACGCTCGTGTTTACACCTTGCTTGATTAGAGTTAAATTTAAATGATGTAACAAATATATTGAAAATCAACTAAACGACTATCCCACGACTGCTATATCTCCGTCAGTGACGGCCTAGTGGAAATACATATAATGTTAAGAGAGTCGAGTCGCGTTAGTCGAAAAGAGCGTTAACGTGATTTCTTTACAAAGTGGTTTTCTGGTAGAAGAGTTTGTTGAAAGTCTGTTATCCTTTGCATTAGATATGGTCTGTGTATTTTAAAAAGACGCCCTTTATCCAATATTTTTCTATTATAATTTATGTATCAGAAAAGTAGATAAGGGTTTTATGAGGAATTTCGATATCGTTTTACGATTGACAGAAGATTGTAAAGAAAATTTCTTAACATTCCAATGAACAAGGCCGATTTGTGTACTAAAAATATATTGTAGTTTTAATGAATGAAATTGTTGCAGAAAATTTTGTAATTTCGTTCATTTGTTTGTATTTTTTTGCTCGTTCTAATTTGTAAGAAGCAGTTAATTGTTGGAATATTTAATTTATTCATTCATGAAAAGCTATTGCTGTTAGAGATTTGTTTTTATTTAAAAGAAAAAAAAACACGTAAGATTTCACATATAAAAATCGCATTTAAGGACCCCATTCTGCATCTGTCAAAGGTGATATTAATAAATATTTAATCTAGAAAAATTTCAAAGGTTATGTAAGGGTGGTTTTAATTTTATCCAAACAAAAATGTAATAAAAAGAAAACAAATATTTAACGAGCATAGTTCAAACGCTACGTATATTTTGATGAGTGAACGTTGGATTTGTGAGCTGAAGCCCTTTTTTACATAAAGAAATAATTTTATCTTTGGCAAGTTTATTGCGTCAGTAAAATGTGAAGCAGCCAAGTCCCTCCTGTGCATGCAGATAACAGGACCCCTCGTAAACTGACAGAAAGTAAGAATTTACTGCAGCAAAATTAATAACTAAGTGGACATTTCACTTTGATACTGAATTGAATTTAAAATTATAATATCTAAGTGTAATAATATATATTAATTAACTTACTTTCGTGTTTTGTGACAGATAAAATATGAATAATTTTTACGTTATTATTTCATCTGGGCTAGATTTTTACCTTACACTTATAGTATTCGTTTCTTTTCCGCGCAATTCTCGCATTTTTTTAATTATAACTTTTTCTAAATGATGCAATGTTCTCACTGGCCAGTACGATCTCTTGATATGCAAACTACTTGTCTACCAAAGAGTTCGTATTATGTAAAAATTCACTCAATAAAATGTTTGAATATAAAATAATATATTGCAAATGTTGTTCGGCGCATTGTGTTTTGTATTTTTAGTAATGAGAAGAAATAAAGCTGTAGAAATATAACTTTAAGGAGCAACGAAGAAAAAATATGATTTGAAAAGTTTCTGAAAGTCGCAAGGAAGGGAAAGAGTCCTCAGACAGATGGTCGCTCGTTAGCACAGGAATTGTGTCACTTTAAAAGAATAAATCCTTTTCACAAAGTTTCAAAAGAATCGACGATTTTAATGAAGTTGACGCAATTAGTAGAGCTTTCTTTCCTTTTTCAAAAGTAGTATTTTTTCTCGCTTTGCTTTTGCGACAAACTGTCGAGTTTACTGTTGCTGACTTTTTCATTTTCTACTCCAACGCCGTGAGCATTGGGACGTTGTGACAGACATGCCACACGGGCGACGCGGCGGAGGCACGGCGCGCCGCAATCACACTGTGCCACACGATCAGTACCGAACTGTACGCACGGTATTGTAACTGAGAAGCGTAAATAATGACGCTGCACGTCTTGTTGACGCATTGTGTGGCGATTATTCTGATATGTAGGCTCCACGTAGCGGCATCGCTTCGCCGATGTGGCATCTCCACAACGTCAATGGCAGAAGCCATTTCTCCTGCTTCATTTACCGGCTTCTTGAAAATTTCCTTTCAAGCAATGACTTTAAGTGTGGTAATTATAATTATTCTGAGCTCTCCATAATGTCCAGCGTTATTTTTATTTCTTCTCAAAGTATTTCAGTATCCGTAATTATTTATCTTAACTATTAGTTTAGTATTGCAGTATCTCTCGTTGTGCATCGGAGCGAGGCTTTATAAAGAATAGCAGAGCACAGAAGTGAAATAGTTAGCGATTCTTTTGATGCGCGCGAAGAATGGCCAACAAAGACTGGGAATAATATTTTCTTTTGAATAATTGTTGGAGATTTCCACCCCGGGGGATAGTGGGGGTGTGCGCGGGGATGAAGGGGAGGGGGTAGGATCGGACAGCGGCGCTTCCGTCGCTCGTTAGGAGATAAATTGCGTTCAAGTAACTAAATAACTCCTCCGCGGCGAATAGATAGAGGAGAAAATAGCCGATTTAATTAGTGAATGGAATATAAACATCTGAATAAATGCGACAGAAAACTTGTCTGTTTATTTATACAGAATATATTATTTGTTTATTTAACATATTACAGGACCTTCTTGCTTATTACTAATATTATAAATACGAATGTTTAAATTGTTAAAAGGTATATCCAGATCTAATATTAACGAAACTTAAATTAATGCTAATTGGCCTTTTAGATTTTTTGCAAAATCTTAATATCTTTTATAATATCTCGGGGAAAAGACTTGTGAAGTTTACTCTTATATATAGAAAATATGATTTGTTTTCTTAATAAAATATAAAAGACTCTAGGGTACCTACATGTGTTTATTTGACCAGGGTTCAATACTACACTATATAATATCTAGCTGTTTGCTTTGGTATTATGTTATTTGTGCAAACACTACGAGCCCGGCTTGATTGAACCAGACACAGTGTAGAACAGCAATTGGTTAACTTTGTCATATACACGAGAAACTCTCTTATTTTCTATAGCTCGTTATGATTTTTTTCCCCAACTGACTCTTAATTTCGTAATACATTTTGAATGTATGTATTTTTATACAGTACTAACTGTTGCCAGCTGCCGTCCGCGCGGGATTAAAGAGACTTAATTAAAAGCCGATGTGTTCTATATGTATGCCAAATTTTATCGAGATCCATGCTGCCCGTCTGAAGGTACCTTCATCTATCCAAACATTTGTATCTATAATATTAGTAAGATATTCTACAGTCAGTAGGGACTTTTTATATATTTTAATTCTTGTGTTTATATACGTTTTACTGAATTTAAAATATCGCTAGTTATTACATTCCACATTACAGAGAAACCATATTTTTCTTGTCGTCAACAAATCTGTTCTAATTTAACGATCCCTCAGTGAAAGTAATCGCCCAACAAAAGTAACACAGACGCGACGCTGCGGTTCACACGGTTCTCGTAAGTAGACGTAAAAAATATTTACGCAGAAAAATCTTGAAGAAAATAAATTCGGTTATTTTTTAGACCTACTTAGGAGGTATGTTTTTGTAGACGCTTAGGCTTATTTACCACCTCATACTAAAAGATTGTGGTATATTTTATCGGAGGTAATAAGT